TAAGTCTTATTGTTTTGTTTTGATTTTTGTTTTGGAGGGGGCAAATATTTAAACCATAGACATAGCTAAAATAAAAAGAAGAAAAATAATAAAAAGTGCTGCCAAGAATATGGAGAGCCTGGCATGGTGGCACACACCTGTGATTCCAGCAACTCAGGAGGCTGAGACAGGAGGATTCCAAGTTCAAGACCAGTCTGGGCAAGTTAGCAAGACTCTGTCTCAAAATTAAGAAAAAAAAAAAATATATATATATAAAGAGCTGAGGATGTAGTTCAGTATTAGATCAGTATTAGAGCAACCCTGGGTTCAATCTCTTCTACCTGAAAAATATAAAATAAGACAAAATGAAACAAAAATGTGGAAAAATTGGAACTCTCACACATTACTGGTGCAAATCCAAAATGGTGCAGCCACTCTGGAGAATGGATTGACAGTTCCTCAAAATATTAACATGGAGTTACCCTCTGACTCAGAAATTCCTCACCTAGGAGAATCAAAAAGATATATCCATACCAAAACTTATATGAATATACATAAAACATTGCTCATAATAGCTAAAAAGGAAATAAACTCAAATGCCCACCAACTTATAAATAAACAAAACGTATGACCATGTAATGGGATTTAAAGGAATGAAGTGCTAATACATGCTACAACATGGATGAACTTTCAGTGAATTATGCCAAGTGAAAGAAGCCAAACACAAAAGGTCACAAATTGGGATTCCATTTATATGACATGTTCAAGATAAGAAAATCCACAGGGAAAGAAGATTGTATGCTTTTAAAGTGTGAATTTTATGACATGTGACTTGTACCTCAACCAAACTGTGTGAAGAAATTTAGCCATTTCTAGTGACACCCCTTTTATGAACATGTTCAGGGCAGAGGTGCATTTGGGTATGGCTATTTGAAGTGAAAGTGCTGTGGAAAATCTTTTTTTTTCTTCCTTCAACTGACTGGTGTTGTAGATGGAGCCCTGCAAAGTAGTTAAGAGGAGACCAGTGAATATCCTAGAGGGATTGTTCAAGAATGCAAAGAAAATTGTGGTAGGGAGACGGCAATCTGATTGTTCTAAATTTGAGTTCTTAACAGGTAAGACTTCTAACTACAAGTGTGATGTGCCACCCAGGAGAGTTGTTTTAAAGAATCCCAGACCTCATACTTCATCAACCCCTGAACTTTACAAAACAATAAGACTTACTCCTGTTTTCATTTTTTAAGCATTTCCTTTGAATTCCATCATAAATATGTGTGGTGTGGGAGAAAGAAAAAGGAAATACTGGATCAAATATTTAATCTTGCAATGAGTTTGTATAAAGAGATTTTGGTATAAAGATATTTATTTGAAGAGCACTGAGATTCTTTGTTAAGAGTGTGCTACCCTCTTTATCAACAGCTTGTTAGATCTATGAATAAATTCCACAAATATTCCCTTCCTTGCTTCTGATGGATATCTGGCTCTTTCAGCTGGAAAGAATTCAGCTTCTTTTGCCCTAGTGAGATAGTTGCCATTTTTTTTTTGTAGCCTGCCATTTCCTAAACTTTCACAATATTTGGATTCAGATGTTCCCCCCCGCCCCAGCCCAAAGTAAAACATACGAGTTGAACTTCATTTTTTTCAGAATGTCTTCAAAATGTCTTAGGCTGGTCTTTTTACCAGATTGGTCACTTAGATGGTGGTGCAAGATGAGCAGCAAAGATAAGAGTGAACATCTGGTAACCTTTATTCAGTTACAGCAACTGTACATTCTGCTTGAACAAGGAAATGCTCAACTACCTAGCTAGCATCTCCACCTGTCAACTGCGCTGAATGCTTCTATCAATAGAAAGGAGATTATAGAGCTCCTGGAGAAGTTCAAGGTACAGGCATCTAAAGAGTACAGATTTGGCCCTATCTTTGATTCAATGGAGAGAAGGAGACCAAGGAGGCTAGGCCAGTGGTCCTACGTGGAGTTCAGAGTAACAGACTACAAATTTTGTCCTTATTCAGATATTTCTGTCAATTTGTAAATGATGTACAAAACTCATTTCAAAGTAATTATTTTAACACAGCATGTACTTCCTGCAAACTAAAATTTTATTGTTTTTTTTAAAAATTTTAATGAGTTGACCTTATCAGTTGTTTCTTTCCATGGGTCATGCCTTTGATGTATCTAAAAAGCCTTCATCAAACTCAAGGTCATCTAGATTATTTTTCTATGTTAACTTTTAGAATTTTTGTAGTTTTATTTTTACATTTGGGTCTATGGTCCACTTTGAGTTCATTTTTGTGAAGGATGTCATATCTGTATCTAGAGTCAGGTTTTCACA